TGGATTGGATCGAGTTTAGGCTGGTAATTTCCTCAATGACATCAGTGATTCAAAAGCCTAGCAACTAAGCATCCATGGTTATAATATGTAATTTTTATCTTCTGAAATTAATATGAAATATTCAATTATCACTGAAAAACCTATTGACTCAGAGAATAGAATTAATGTTTATATTGTTGTAGGAATATATCTATATTTGGCTTCATATCAGGTTAGTTTTTTTTAATTTGCTTTAGAAATTTTCAAAACTTTTTTGACTTTAGCTTCATTCCATTGGTATGTACAATGGCTATTTACAATCGTTTCTTTGAACCATTAGATTTTATTCAAGTATCGCAAGTGACAAGACCCACAACAAGAATCGACCATTTTTCAAGAGAAATTAGACATCATCACTTAATGAAATAAAGGGTTAAAACAAAGTTGTTCATAGAAAGACAGAACGTTTGTTGGAGGCTGATAGAAAAAGGTTTTCATTTCTTTAATTTGTACCTACTCTGATAATTTCACCTCAATTTCAAGTTTCATTAGAATACAAGTGGAAGAAGATCTGATCCAGTTGATATGTTTTCTCATATGACATTCTTTTATGTTAAGTTTTGAGAGGAATAAGTAACAAGTTAGATTATGCTTTTTCTTGGTATTTAGTTGTTTAAACAGAAAGTTTACTAAACTAAACTGAACATGTTTTTATTTTATAAGTTTCAATGTTTTTCTTGGTTCTAAAAGGTTTATGCACACTCTTCATCATTATGTGCATACTAAAAATCTGAGAAATATTTGAAGTAAATACTTGCTATATTCATAAACAAACACACATGTTGTTTAACTACAGGGTAGGATGGACAAACCGGATAACATGTGCTTGTTCACAACGAGTTACTTTGTTGGGTGAATTACCCAAACAATGTCGGTTTTCAATTAGGACTCCTATGTTACCCGTAGAGCTGAGAACTGACAACTTCTTTTATCCAAAACTCTTGATAGGTTAATATTCATGAGTTTCATATATAAAAACCTACCTTTATGTAGGTCATAAATAATTAAACTCAAACTAACCTAAATTTTCAAGAAAATTAAAATCAAAAGATACTAAAAAGCTATGCATGAATGAATTGCTGATTTCTAAAACTTCTCTGTGTAGGTTTGAGATTAATGGCCAAGGATGTGAAGGTTCAATGGAAGACGTAATTCCAGCCTCCCCAAAACTTTTTTTTTTTTTTTTTTTTCTGTATGTGTTCTAGATATGGCTGTGGATCTACTTGTTTTTTTATTGTTTTATTTTTTTTACAATTGCTATGTAGCTATATATGGGGTTTGAAAAACTTATTGAATTCAATCATGCAAAACAACGTTTAGTTGTGAAGAAATTATAAGGTGCGATCCTCAATAAATGATAAATCCTATCTAAACTAATCTTTTGTTTTGGTTTTTCTTTTGGAAGCATACTTTGATCCCCTTGGAAGAGTCACATTAGTATACACAAGGTATAATTTTTTTTTCCAGTGATTCCTTAACCTGCTTGGTTTATGATGATTATAAATATTTTTAATTATGTACCTATCATGCTTTCTACAATTTTAGTTCTTATTACTTATTATCTTTTCTTAAAAAAATAATTTCTTATGGGTTTGTGTAGATTCCGATTTTGAATATTAATATATGGTAATTTTGGCATGCATAGTTCTATGAACTGTTTGAAAAAATGCCAAAAGTAATAGCATGGAAAAAAAAAACTGATGGTTGGTTCAGTCTAGAGTCCACCAAGTAGGCATCTAGATGATTATAAAGGCTTGGAAGAAATCTGATTCGTGTTCTGACTTCTGATACTTTGAAACTGTCATTTTTTTTCCTTTTAACATGCATCAAGGGTCTGGGGATGAAGAGTGAGCAAACACATGCTCTTATGTCTATCGATTTTAGGATTCTTTTTATTTGAGTTCTAACGGATTTTTTTTTTATTCATTTTGAGCATATTTGCAGCCTAAACTACCAACATCAAACTTGCAAGAAAGTTGAATCTAATTAAAAAAAATCAAAGCTCTTCATTTTCAAGTAATATTATATATTTCCTTTTGCAGGGAACAAACAGTTATTAAGCTAAAGGAGCAACTGAATGAATTAGCTGTGGATCATGAAGGTAAACGAATACATCTAAGTTTTAATAAACAAAGCATAGGTAGTGTTTGGTATGATGTAATGGAGGATCGGATGGAATGGTTCATTCCATTGTATGTTCTGAATTACCCATTTGGCTCCTGTTGATGCCATTGATGACGTATCTATACAACATATACCACCAAGTTAAACCAACTATGTTGCAACTTGCGATATTCCATTAAACATTTTTTTTCTCATATATTAAAGTTTTTTTCCTATTTACATAATGATGTAAAGGAAGCATTATATCACGTGTTGATAGGACCATTCCATCATCATATTCATGTAGTCGATTATTTAACTTCAGTGTAATGTCATTAATCAAACATTTTCCTTATTTTTTTTTACATAGGATAGGCTAATTTACTAATTTAACATGTTCTTTACAGGAAATTCAACAACAATTATATTTTACTATCGCATCACATATTCTCTTTCATCAAGTTTTGCATTTATTTGAGTTTATGAATATCTGTATGATTTTGATTTGGGTTCTTTTTTGGAATATTTAGGAGTTGCTTTATTAGTAAAGTCAAATTTATGCTCAAGAGGATAACATGAATCAACTACACTCTCTAAATTTAGAAACCCGTGTCACGAATGTAGAATCAGAAAAGAGAACAATATGGAAAATGTATATGATAACAGTTATGATGAGACCAGGCACAAAGTTCTTGAAATTCAAGTGCATGAAGGCTTCAAAAATATACTTCTTTCAAAATATGTTTGGCAGCACAAGCAAAGAAGTTAATAAAGACTCGATTGGCCAGAGTACACTGGCGGAACTAGTTGGTTGGTAGGGGTAGCTTAATCCCTGCAAGTATTAAAAAAAAAAAAAAATTATATACATAAGTGTCATAAGTGTAACTATGAATAAAGATGTGTAATATTCTTGGATCCAACAACCTCGACTCAAATGTCTAATTACATTTAAAACAAAAGTCCAATTAATAGTCCATTAATCGGTGAAACTTAGCTCATTTACATATCATTGTTTTGTGTAATTGTGTAGATTATTATTTATGACATGAAGGAAAAAAAGAAATCGTCGTTGCTTTCTTTAGTTCTCCTAAGTTTTAATCATCTCATAGTTGCTCATGATTTCTTATTTTCAATTTTTGCTTTCTTCTCCCACTTGGTCACTTGCTCACTTACGGATTCATGAAACAAGTAATATTTAATTTTTTATCTTTTATATTTTATGATTTTGTTTAATTTAGTTTTTCAAATTGAAAACCTAATTAGCCAATTAGGTATTCACGTGTATTATGTTTAAATCTTCAATACCATGAATTTTTAAATATTTAATTGTGTTTAAATAGGTTTAATTGATTTTTTTTAAAAGAACATTGGATGTTGGTAATAGTGAAAATAGCGGAGGAAAAGGACCAAAACTTTAACCACAACCACAACCTATTCCATCAAATTTTGATATTAATAATCTTCATTCGAATTACATCCTGTCATCCAAATCAAAGGAATGAAATAAGGTGAAAATATTGGAATTGTAATTTAAAAAAAATATATATATTATTATCTTTTATCGAGATTTTTTTGTGCTCCCCTTACAAAAGTTTTTGGTTCCGCCACTGCCAGAGTATATTGAATACACTCGGTAATCTTTCTCTCTCCCCCCCCCCCCCCCCCCCCCCCTTCTTCCTTGGTCTTCTATAAATGAAATTAATATGCATCTCTTAGATTTCGTCCAAATTCAGGGCATATTTGTAAAAAACCTAAAAAGTTCATATTTCCATGACTTTCGTTCTCATACCCCTTCCGTACAAACAAAAAGAGCATCAATCTCATAATTTCATGACTTTTCAATTTTAATTAAGGAAAGTGTAAATGCTCTAAGTTTCTTTTAAATTTATAAATTTAATTAGGAAAAATGTAAATGCTATAAATTTCTTCATATAGTGACCTATCTGCAAATCTACCAAGGAAACGATTACCACTTCAAGGTATTGCTATTTAAATGGAAAAAAAACCCATTTGAAGAAGATTATTAGTCGCATCAATATTTGACTATTCTAATTATGAAATAAAGATAAATTTAGGGGTTATTTTTGTTCATCTGCTATTTGAGGTTGTTAATTTTAGTACTAAGTTCATTAAGTCTAACATTGTTTCCTTTACAACATGTAATTGTAATACTTTAGTTATCAGTGGGTGAAAAGGTGAAATCATGGTTGTGTGCATTGTGTGAATATATATTGATATTAATATACGTTTGAAGATGTTAAAAGTAAAGACTATCAGTTGCTTTTTGGGATAAAATATATACTTTGATGTCTTGTTTTCCCTCAAACCAATAAAAACTAGCTTATTAATAAACTTTTTACGGTTGTGATATATATATATATATATATATATATATATATATATATATATATATATATATATATATATATATATATATATATATATATATATATATATATATATATATTGAAAATCTAAAATTATAATGATAGTCTTTACTATTAATTTGAAATTTGAACCGAGATAATTGATATATTTTCATTCAGATAATTTGTGTATTTGACTGATCGACCTCTTGGTTCGGTTATTAGATAACCATTACTATTAATTAATGTATTTTGGTATCCGTTGGTGTGTTGTGAATAAATTCTAATTTTTGCATTAAATCTGTTTTTTACAATACCATCGGCCCTTAAAATGTCCCTAGTATACATATAGAGTTGCTTAATCCAACTATTTTCTAGCAAACAACCGATAGGTATTTTAATTTTCCTTAAATTCCAATACATGCAATTCCATTTCCTTGGATAAATAAATTTGAAGGAAACTTATGGATTTTTCCTTGGCTATAAAACAATCTATTGAGAAAGGAATTTATCCATAAACAACACCTTCATCGTTGGCCACCTAATGGGATCATTTTTATAGACTTTCTCGTTTAGCTTTTGAATATCTTGCCACCATTTGAAAGCCTCTCCTTCCTGTGGCAATGTGCTGACTACAAGTTCTACTTGTTCTGGCCGTGCAACACAATGATACTCAAAATACAATTCTAGTTCCTTTACCCATTTGCAAAAGACATCAAGATTAAACTTCTCAGGGAATGTTGGTAGACCAATGTTTGGGTTGTAATGAGATGGCTTCTCCTCTGTAGGAATCTCAACCACATTATCTTGTATTGGTGCATATTTATTCAACTCCACCTCGATATGTTTTATGCGAGTGCCCAGATCTTCAAGCTTGTTTACCATGGGCCCAATACACCTATTTATTTCGTTGGCCAACGTATTCAAAGAAAAAAAGTCTACACTGAAAAATATAAACAAGTAGAATCCAAATTAAAAATTAGTTGATAACAAATATTAAATCCAAATTAATGCAAACTTAATGTCCATATTTTTAAATTTATGTCATTCAAAAATAATAAAATTTTCTAGAAACCTGGAGCCATGGTGTCCTTGATCTTGATCCATGTCTTGTGGCTCGTTCCCTGAATCAAAAAATTTAAAGTCGGTATAAAGGTTTATTTTTTTCAACACCATATTCTAATCTTGGAATAAAATTTAATCAAACTCATCCTAATAAAACCTTAATCTCCCAACCAAAGGAGTTACACCTTAATTCTTTCAAGATTTCCAATGGATTAATGGATATTTTTTTAATTATATTAATTTTAATGATCAAATTGTAGAGAGTGTTCCAAAGAGAAAGATATTTAGAAAGAAACTTTTGCAACACAAACTAGCAAATGCATACAATACAATAATATAAGTTCAAAAAGCGAACCCCATTACCAATTCAATGGCCTTGTGATATACATATGCATAATTAAATCACCAAATCCCATTTAAAATTGCCCAATCATTGTTAATTATTGACGCAGACAAAATACATATTACATAAGTCTTTATGTAAGAAAACTAATGTGTTCATCCTCATATTCCTACATAATCATAGCAGCAAACATGTACAAAAGTCAAAGGTACAAAATGAGCTGAATAAAACCAATCAAGAGAGTTAAACAATACCAAACAGACAGCAGATCCATGAATCACGCATATAAAACCATGGGAAAACAAATTTTACATTAATATTCGACTTTTCTTGTCCCCCTTCAAACAAAGCCAAACTAAGATGAAAATGAAACAACTTTGTAAATGCATTTTATCCGATAGTCAACAGCTCCTCCAATTAGGAATAGAAAAAACTAATTTTTCGATCAATTTGAAACCTTTTTACGCCTAAATTTGATGCAAAATAAATAAACTTAATTTCTTCAGAGTCGATGAACCATGGAAACTTATATCAGAATGAAAAAGAAACACAGAAAACAAACCCTAGAATATAACTAAACAAAACCATTGTCCTCGAATCGGGATTGTGATCAGTATCAGAAGTAATGAAATTGATTACCGTTATTACGTGAAGCAATCGTCCCCTGATTTGCCGGCTTCTCCTCCGCTCTACGCTGTACCGGAACCCTAAGGTGGAGATGGATCAATTTTTATAGGCGTAACATCATACCCTAAACTTATCCCCTGGGCCGTGGCCCATTGAACTGTGAAACAAATAACCAATCGACCAATAGCATAACTTCGACTTGGATGTGAGTTTATATAAAATTTTCTTGATTCTAAATAAATTTGTTGATAAAACCATAATAATAATAATAATAAGCACTTAATCACTTCAGCCTTTGCTCCAACTCTCCAGTCTGATTCTCACAAATGACTTAATACTTAAAGTTGGCAACTTTACTTACATACATGGCTTAATGGGATTTTAGAGTTTAAAAGAGCTTAATGAAAGGTCTTAACACATGCATGAGTCCAACTAAACCATAATGATCACTTTTTTATGCCTTTGGGACACCCAAAACATCCATATCCACAATAACAACTTCTGAAACAACTAGAACTCACAAGAACCACCCAAAAAGGCTAAAATGACTAAGAACAAACCCAAAAGAAGATCTATGAAATGAGAAGACAAGATCATAGCTTTTTACCTCTAATAGATTGCAAAAGATGAGAACTTTCTAGATCCACAAGCTCCCTTCAGGAAATGAGTCATCAACTTTCTTCTAATCTTACACAAATCACCATAAACACTCATCTCCAAGGTCTAAAAGCTTACTCAAGGCACTCTAGGTTTTCATGAACGTCAAAAGAGGTGGTGGCTGACTTAAAATGACCAAAGGGGTGGTATAATGTTGCTTATATAGGGTAGGAACCCCGAAATTAGGGTTTTGCTCTGAATGGGGTACACCCCGCGTACCCCTTAGTACGCCCGGCGTACACACAAACCACTTGCAACCCACATTGCCTTATTCGTTGGGCGTACCCAACCAAACATGCGTATGCACCGTCATATGCATGGGGCTGATCTGCCAAATATTTCCATTAGGGGTCACACTTGCCAATATCTTCAAAATGCCATAACTCCCTCATCCTAAGTCCGTTTCTAACGAACCTTATATCTACGTAAAGGTGGCGAGAATCCCTACGCTCCTAACAACATACCCACGCCATAAAACCTCCCAAACAAAACCTGAAATCTATAAAAGACCGAGATATCAATTTACAATTATACCCTTGGTGCCGTAGACCCGTCCTACAAGAGGAAACTCACCTCGAAAGCTAGCTGTGAATCTTGTGTAAGGAATCTCTAACCGCTGCTCCAACGACTCCCCAACTATCAATACACAATAACACTTAATCAAAATCTAATAATCCTTCTTAGGGTAAAATGACCATTTTACCCCTAGTCAAAGTCAACGTACTGGTAAAAGTCAACGTCCTGAGTTTACTCGACTCGCCGAGTTGGCTTATCAACTTGCCGAGTCCTATAGCTCATAAATCCTGAAATTGCGATCCAACTCGCCGAGTCATCCCCCTAACTCGCCGAGTTCCCCAGCTAGTCATAGTCGCGATTTAGCGAATCAACTCGTCGAGTCCTAACATAATCAGAACGGGATAACTCGTATCAACTTGTCGAGTTCACCTAAGGACTCGACGAGTTACTCTGTCTGTTTGGGCCATCGTAAAGGTTTAATCCCCTACACTTCGAATCTAAGCTTCATACTTCTTATATACTCTGGAAATGTCCTTTTAAGGGTAAAGTTTCCAACTTTACCCGTTAATACCTCCTCTTAATGAGTTTAGCTCAAATCCTAAGTCCTTGGGACCTAGATCTTGGTCCCCAAGTCATCCATACTCCAAACTACAACTTACAAACATGGATCTAGGTCCTTAACACTACTTGAATACGTAAAGTTCCTTCCTTTTTCTACATGCATGGCCCTTTTAGGGCTTAAAGGCGAAAAAGGCACCCCATAGCTTGTATGGGAGCTCTTATGGCATAAAGTTTACACCTTTAAGTCATAATAGCCCTTAAGGGTTCCAGATCTGAAATAATACCCTCTTGGATCGTCCATATCCTCATGCCCATATACTTGGACCAAAACCCTCATAAAGGTAGGACCATTTTGGCATATAGCACTTCTGAAATCTAGCAACCCAAGCAGCCCTTCAAATCGGATTCCCCGTACCGCAAGTTGTTAAAAAGATATTATAACAACACTTATATAACTCATAATAATAGCCCAAATACTCGTTATAAGGTCCTAATAACATTACTATATTTAAACATAAGCTATACTTAAGGTAGGGTAAGTATATCTCACTTACATTGGTTTTTTCTCAAAACCGGGCTCCGCCGAAGCAGAGTTTCTGAGCCGAAAACTCTTCTTTCCGGAGCCATCGAGAGATTCGGGGCTTCCTTATCATGCTAGGGAGGTTCCCTAGGCAAATTCTGGTGCTGACACGTGGTGCCGAACACAGTAGGTAAAACAGTCAATCTTATAAAATTCATAAATTTCGCATATGAGCTTCGTTTTCGACGTTTTTTACATCCACGTGTAGGTAAGTACAAGATCTACAACTTTCCGTTTGACTCCGTCGGCTAATCCTTGACCAATTTGAAATTTAACAATATGAGGAGATTATACTGTTAAATGACCGCGTAAAATTCATAACTTCTACATACGGACTCCGTTTTGTCTGTTTTTTTGTCGTTGAGTTTCACAGAGGCCGGTTTCTGTGACACCATTTAATCCACTTGAATGTTAAGATCACAAAATATCCTGATCTTGCCAACGTTTCGTTACTGATTTGGGGACTTACAACTAGTATCACATTCCATGAGCATAACCTCTAATGTCTGAATGGTCCACTCACCCAAGATAACATAACTGATTATGCCTCGACCATGTTTCTCACCCAATCTAGCATAACCAAACGGGCCTCGCCCACAGGTCTCACCCAAGCTAGCGTGGCCAAACTGGGCTAGCATATAGGCCTCACCTAAGCTAGCATAGCCAAATAGGCCTCACCCTCAATCGAAAGCTATATTAGACCAACCAATAATACAACTTTAATAATCATCTTGCCCGAACATGGATCATCTAAATAACCATAACGAGCTCGACTCAACCCGGTTGAAGGTTGTGATCCCCTCACAATCTTACAACCATTCCTGAAATGACCAAACTCATCCTAGCGGATACTACTGGCCAATCCATAGTTGTGTCACACATCTACTAAATCCATGGGCCCAAACCATGGTCTTACCAAGTATTCACAAAACCAAGCCAAAAATCTACATGATCCGAAACCCCAACCTGCTAAACCCCAAATAGGCATCCGGGTCATGTTTCGAAACCCAAAGCCTTCATCAGACAAGAACATGAAAATAGGCTATAACAAAACCCTCAACCTAAACCTAGCCACAAATACATAAAGCGCCACTATCGATTCTTCACTTACTCAGACAAGATAACATGAATCCTGTAATGTCCGGTCTCCAGATTAAATTCTTACGATGTATGTATTGATGAGCTTATGAGTTGGCCGAGTACATTAGGCATAATCATGGTATGTTGGGCATACCATGGAGAGCTTTGGATACGGGGTTATCCACCTAGTACGTTGGGCGTACCTGAGCCAAATGCAAACCCTAAGTTTTAGGGTTTGGACCCTATTTAAGCAACCTTATGCCCCAAGGTTCTCTCATTATCAACCTCTATTGTCTCTAAAAGCAATATCTCATACCTTAACCCATTTTTAGAGAGAATTGATCCTTGTGTGTGTTTTGGTGTGTGTTTGGTGCATCTTGAAGAAGAAGAAGAAGCTTGGTGAAGGAGCATTGATCAAGATGGATCTTGTAAATATAGAGTTTGTTCACCTTTCTCAGATTCTAGAGGTATAAAGTCTTAACCTTGGTTATTATGTTCTTACATCTAGGACTAGTTGAGATTTGAGCATATTTTGGTCCCATCGGTGAGTTCTTGTGAGTAAATGTTACTCCTGAAGATTTGAGTTGTCCCTTTTGATGTTTCTCAGTCCCCGATTCCCTTTGGTAGTGAAGCTATACACCAGACGTACTCAGGTGGTACGCTTAGCGTACTCACTAGCCCCTTTTCGGGCTTTAAGTTTTTGGGACATTTTTGGTCCTGAGGTCTTTGAGCCATTGATGAGCCTTAAGTTTGTGGGACATTGTTGGGATTTAGGTTATGTGAGCCTTGCTAAGCCTTAGGTCTTCTGGGCTTGGGTCATGGGTTGAGGGGCCATTAAGGGAAGGGTAAAATGGTATTTTACCCTAGGAGTCGAGATTAAGGATTTAAACTCTCATTTTCGGTTTATGGCGTAATTGTTAATTAGTGTTTTATTATTTTTGATTTAGTGTGGGGATTTTCGGATTCAGCAACCCGAGTGTTCTTTGTTTATCACCAAATTGAGGTGAGTCTTCTTATAGCATTTAGCGGGTCGAAGGCACTAAATTCGGTTCATGGATTATTGTTATTAAAATGCTAGTTGTCTGTGTGACTCTTGCATGTTTTGTACGTGTTTGTATGTGTGTCGGGTGGGCCCAATGGCAGGCGAGGCCTGATGAGTGTGTTGGGTGGGGCCCATCGCATGTTACTGATAGATCTATACCGGACGGGGCCCGATGGAGGTCGATCGGGGCCTATTGTATGTTTGGTATGTGGTATTTTGGCGGAAACTCACTAAGCTTTGTGCTTACGGTTTTCAGTTTATGTTTCAGGTGCTTTTGATTTGAAGGGGAAGAGCTCAGGATAATCGTATTGCACACACCATGTTTTCCGTATTATTGACTCTGACGTATTTTGGATATGGATGATATACTCTGATTTTCCATTTTGGTTTTTTATGAACAAGTATTGGTTGGTTGTTGATCGAATATAAAATGAAATTTTTGGTTATAAATTTTGGCACGTTACAAGTTGGTATCAGAGCCTTGGTTTGAGGGATTCGGGCATACTCTCGAATGTGTCTAAACTCAAACTGAGGAATTGGTAAGTTTTTCATAAAAGAAAATGTTTTCTAAAAGGTTTTATAATAAAAGAAAGGGGCATGGCGCATGCAATCAACTGCGTTGTAGCACATGGTTCCTGGTATGTATGATTTATGTAAGTATTTTGCATTTTTAGCCTTGGACTCGGCGAGTTGTTGGCTCGACTCGCCGAGTAGAGACGGGATATTGAGCACGTTTAAGTTGGCAACTCGGCGA